ACCCAATACCTAAACTTAACAACTCATTTTCTAACTATTAATAAGCAGTAAATTAGGAGTTTGAGGCAAAATTTGTAGTTAATTTGTTTGTTAATATAGTGAGAACTGGGCCTTAAAATAAAGTGTGACCTAATATTGTATAAATATGTATAATTGTTTAGTACAACACTTTGAAAGCTTATACAGTAAACTCTGCCAGATTTAATCTACAGGCCTGTCGATGTTGCTGGCCACTAAAGCTGCACTGTTCTTCTTCCCACCAGTCCATCCACACACCTCTGCAGTCGCATACTCTATTTAGTGTCCTATTAATCATCCACTGACATAACAGCTGTATATGTGCCACAGTGTGAATTGTCAGCCCTTAGCACAGCGTAGGTTCAGTCTGTATATCATGAATAATGCATGACACATCACGGCCCCTGAGTTTTCGTTACTGATACTCTGCAAGAGTTTAAAAGACTTTTCAAAGTAATAATGGAAACTGTAGGTAGAGGATGAATTAAAGTTCATCCATCTTCTTTAAAAAAAAAAAAAGTCTTGATGCTGTCTGTAAATAACAAAACAAAAAAATAAAAATGAATTAATGCTACATTTTAATTACCTGCACTAAGCAGAATCTGTGAAAAGAGGCATTACACACAATATGTTTGCATGTGTGCCTTCACTGAAATGATAGAGAAAATAATGCTGCATATCCTGACACTAATTCAAGTAATGACACTGCACTTAACAGTCAGGGACTTGAACCTTTGCCCCCCTATAGTTGAAGTGTGGACAAGCCCAAAGTTATGCAGTCTATCCTGGGAGTCGTAAACTCAGGGACCTCAGCTAGCTTGAGAAATCTCATACTATCAAGTTCCCTCCTTCTTATCCACAGCCATGCTGCAAAACAAGATGAAGCAACTGGCCTCTGCATGTCAATAGCTCAAAGAGCTCTCGCAGCTGTTCTCTTCACTAGTTGTGTTTGCTTTGTTGCCATGGTCGCAGATGGGTGTGAATGTTTGGGTTTTTATGGTAGACTTTGTTATATTATGATGGACACATTTAGATTGAAAACTGATCAGCTTTGTGTACAGTAGATTGACTAAGTGACCTTATTGTCAGGTTTATATGCCATAATAGTATATAGTATAAATGTAGTATACACAGTAAACAGTAAAGTGAGTTGAGTGTGAGAAGTTGTAAACAAGTAAAAAAGGTGAACATGAAAATCAAAAGGTGAAATGGTGTTTTAAATGTAGACGAAAATCACTTGAATAATCTATTGCTGTTTAATGGTGGAAGATCAGAAACCTATCCCACTTCAGACTTCTTGACCATCTTTGCAGTTTTCAGCAATTAAAACCGTACATCTGTGTGTTTTTTTTATGTTCACTTGGATATCAAATTATATTCATTTTTTGAGATTTTTATATAACAAATATCATATTTAGCTGTGTATTTTTTGCACAAATTTTAGAATTATTTACATATAAATATATTTAAAAATATTGGTAGTTCTGTATGTTGTTTCAGGGTTGGCATCATCTGAGGTCCTCTGAGGGGTTGGCATCATCTCTTCTCAGGTGTTCTGGATCCAGACTGAAGCTTGTGTAAATCCTAGTTACAGAAACAGAGAAACAAATAGAGACACAATTAGCGTGGCTGCTGTTCCAACCAAGCTAAATTTATTTGTTTAACCCAAGCTATATATACAATATACATATATGTATATATATATATATATATATACATATATGTATATTGTATATATACAATTTACAAGTGTACAATATATTTTGGTAGACAAAGTAAGAAAACACAGGAAATCTAGTCTACTCTATCAAGCTAATGGTTTTTTTCTTCTTCCAAAATGGTCTCCAGGTCAGTGTGCTCCTCTCCTGCTCTTGATGAGAACAATGTGAGATGTTCAGTCATCTCTCTAGCACTGGTAATTATGAAAAATCTGCTCTTTTACAAGGTACAGAACATCAGGGATGCCATAGGCAAAGGAAAACAGATCGAATAGAGCTGCAGAGATTGAAACTAGATACAGTGAGGATTAATAAAGAATAAACAGAAGATATGAGGAAAAAGGCGTTGGGGCCTTTTTCGCAAACTGGTGTCATAACTGTTTAAATAAAAGGCCAAATGGATGATCAGAGCCACATCTCTGATATTAGGCAGTGCATATACTGTATATAAAACAGCAAGATATTAAACATCCTAAAAACACATTATTAAAGTTACAAGAACATTTGACCATATCCTTCTAGAAGCTTCATCTGAATATTCCACTTTGAGCGTGAGGCTCCTGGTAAGGAGGCATGACAGTAGGATTTGTCAGTTATTGGAAAAAGCTGAGACCTGTGTAGCGTCAGCATGGACTAAATCAGCAGCTGCCATTGCTAGTAATCCCACCTCTCTTTTTGTTGGGGCCCAGGGTCAGCACCGTACAAAGGGCCTGACCTACAACAGTCAATGGAGTAGGGGCCTAGCAGGACAGAATAAAGTGCTGGGTCAAAGCTGACTCATCATAGATCCTGGAAGCAGCCCTCAGCTGCCTGCAGAGAAGACAATACTGTTGTAGAGTTATGTAATACACCCGCTAGCTGTGAGGATGTACTCAGGCATTTCACATTTCAGTGCCTCATGTTATCTTTCAGTTGGTGAAACAGCAACCCTCAGGTTAAAAAATAAGATAAGATCTTTCAGCATGATAACCCAAAGCACGCTAGCAAAACAACTAAGCAGTGGCTGACAGGGAGGAATATTAATGTTCTTGAGAGGCCTAATCACTACACTGACCTGAATCCAGATTTAAACTTGAAACTCTCTGAACAACTTATGTCTAAATGTCTGTAAGGTTAGAAATATAATAATTCAAGTATATGCTATAACGAGTTAATAATACTTATTTCAAAATAAATTGAAATTAACTACAGTAATATGTATTATTTTACACAGTTAATTTAATTAGTATTCACTATAGTGAATTTGAATGTATTTATATAAATTTAGGTTAATAATAAATTAATTTATTTTAATATTATCTTATTTTATTTTTTTCCCCACACTTACATATAGCAAGAAGCAATTTGAAAGTAAAACCAGACCCGAGGGCTTTAAAGCAACAAAAATTCTACATTAAAAACTCAAGTGTCTTTAGATAAATGTAGTTCACGAGAAACACAGAGTGAGGTGGAGAGACGTTCTCCTGACCCCTCAGGTTCTGTCCTGTGCGTGCGAGTCTACATCCTAAAACCCAATCAATAAACATAACACATGAATGACGCAACTGCTAATGATTTTCTAAATATGTCACAACTGAGTTGCAAATCAATAATCAGTTTGTGGTCAAAATGAATATGTAACCTCACACTTCACCTCAGGCAATGCAAATACCAATTTAAAAATGGCCATAGATTAATAATATATTGTACGCTAAATAATTGTATTTTATTTGTTTATTTTATTTATTAGCATGCGTGGTGTACAATTCCCCAATTATTATTATAATTTTTTTTAATGTTTTGGCCAGTTTTAACATGAACCTGTTTATGTGTTCGTTTTTTTAAGCGACCCTGCTGGGTAAAGTTTATTACCTCACTTGGCCCCAAGGTCACTTCTTGACCTTAGTGCCATCCGATAAGCTGAGGTCAGAAGGTTAGCCCCTCTAAACGAAGCTGGCGTCTTGAAGTCGAACACCTTGAGGTTTCAACCTTATCTTGAAATGATCTGCATCTTTAAAGCAACAAGGATGCAAAGTACTAAATGTGAAAAAGAAAAAAAAGAAAGTTTCTCATAGAGAATGGTCTAAATTAGTTTTGCATGTGTACACTAAATTAACATGTGTTTAGTTGGCCCCAAGGTCACTTCTTGACCTTAGTGCCATCCGATAAGCTGAGGTCAGAAGGTTAGCCCCTCTAAACGAAGCTGGCGTCTTGAAGTCGAACACCTTGAGGTTTCAACCTTATCTTGAAATGATCTGCATCTTTAAAGCAACAAGGATGCAAAGTACTAAATGTGAAAAAGAAAAAAAAAGAAAGTTTCTCATAGAGAATGGTCTAAATTAGTTTTGCATGTGCACACTAAATTAACATGTGTTTAGTATATGCATATGGAGAAGTTTCACTTAAAACCGTTTTCATTGACTCCATTTGTGTAACAGCTAGAACGGCCTGTGGGGGCGCTGTTGTTAGTGAGGGACCAGTATTGAAGTTGTTTTGAATGTGTCCATATTTCAGGTCTTGCTGACTTTTTAAATTCTGAGCAGCAGACTGTTTGCTTCGATGCACTTTATATCAGCATAGTAAAGACTGATGGAATCATTATAGTGCTGCTTTGTTATGAATAAAACAGAAGTACAACAGAAATTATGGTTTTTAGACATTTATTTATTTCCAAGGAAGAACTAAGAGAAATGTTAAAACCATTATGAACATACATTTCATTCATTATTTAATGTTCACAATGATCTCTGAAATGAAATCACAATGAAATAAGACAAAATATACCACTGAGACAAAATAAACTCAAGAAATATTGCACTTAATTTCTAAAACATACCATATTTCCACTAAAGGTGTTTCTTGACAAAGTCAAGAGTTTAGCTTTAACACTGGACTACACGGAAGGCCAAGCGTTAGACTATAGTATTGACCAACCACAAAAAGAAGCACTTTTCTCTTTGCGTTTAAGCTTATTCTTTCATTAGTGGCCAATTTTGGTTCAATTCTAAACTATAAAACACAACAGAGAAGCAGATCATTCTCTGCTTCTTATAATCATCTCTTCAGTTCTGAAATGGGTCATCCATTTCTCTGAGGTGTGCTTCAGCTATTGTTCCCATAATAATCGAGACAAGAGGATCTGTATAATGGTCGTTTGTCTGGAAAACAAACACTGAATGCCCAACAGTAATCATCAGAACTCATATCTGAAAAAACAAATCCAAAACCCATTCAACTCAAAAGTGGCATGATCAACGCACGCTTTGAAGGACTTTTTGGTTTTCCCTTTTTGTCCTTTTAAACTAAACAGTAATCTCTAGGACTGAAAGAAAACAGGATGATGATTATTGAGGATAGCATAAATGATAAAGCATGTTAAGATCAGTTCATCAAGGCCACTATGTTAAGACCACTTTGCTGTCGAATCATAAACCCCCTAACATTACAGATGAACATATAACAAACACGCTGTGTATGCAGACATGAGTAATTCTACAAATTCAAACACTACTTTAACTATCTACATTGGTAATTGTTTAAATTGTTTCTCCAGACCTCAACCAGACATGAGCAGTTTTATTTCAGTAAAAAAAGTGCTTAATGAAGGCCAAGCATGATCAGAGCCTAAACTACTTCTGTAGTTGAATGAGTTTTAAAAACAAATGTACAACTCATTTCAACTGGATTCGGATGTCTCTGGATGTTTTGCTACCCAGCTTGGCTTTTCAAGCATTTGTGCCATCCTTTGGGTCACATCTGGCTTCACCGATCTGAAGAAACATTGTGGCTGCTGGTGCAGCAGGACAAAAAGGGAATGTCATAAGTCTTTGAAAGCTGCCTTGCATCTTTGCGCATATCTCCTCTCTTTATTGAATCTGTTTTTCAAAATTGAATCTGAAATTCCTTCTATAGTCTCCTACCTTGAACTGAAACAGTGCAATCAAAACATAATCTACACCATTTTTGTTTTCATCATTTGGCAAGTGAGAAGATCACCTGAGACTTGAGTGCTTTTTTCAAGCAGTGCAATCTTGAAGCCTGCACTGCTACACACTACAAACAGAAAGGCAACAAACTCTTCAGGCTGCCTGCCCGGACCCCACCCTGTTTTATCTCTCTGCTCCCATCACGCACATGAGTGGCATGAGCTGGACTGTTGCTCCTTGATCAAACAACATGTGCAACAAATTTAACACCAAGCAAACCACGTTTGGCTTAAAGGCATTCTACATTTAGAACTGAAAATGAAGTCCATGTGAACAGGAGAAAATCAAACAAAAGCCACACTCGGGTTACGAGTTGGCGAGGCAATGTCGCAAGAGCGTCAAGACAGCATGTTACCAAGAGCAGATTATCGACTGAGGAAACACAATCAATGAACACTACAGACCTCAAAAGAACTGAAAGTGACTCTCTGCGCCCTTACTTCTGGGTTTTCCCATAGAGGATTGTTTTCTCTCGGTGGTGACAGCAAAGTGACCAATCACTGTCATCGGGAGATAAACAAAAGTGAAAGCTCCTAAAGCCCATCGCTTTGGACTCATGCCATGCATTTCTCAGCGTGACGGGCAGGTGTCGAGTCTGTGTTCTGCAGTTGATGTGGCTTGATCTGGATGTGGATCAATCTGATGGAGAGGGGAACAGAGAAACAGCGGTGAGATTAATGCATTTAAACATGGCTGAAAGCTTCACACCTTCCACCAAAACTAAACTAAAAGCTTACCTCGGAGTAGGGTGGAGGGGGTCGGAAGCGGAACTCTTGGATATAAGCGAATAGCGGGCCATCAAAGTTCTCCCGCCCTGACGACACTTCCAGACAGCTCTGCCTCTGATCTTCTGTGACCACCTCTGCATAGGCTGGAGGAGCTGCGTACAGCAAAAGCAAATGTTAATACTGTTACCATGCCAAACACGTTATAGGTTTCACCTTTGAACACAATGTGATCTACATGTCCTCTTTTGGTGTCTTATTCAAAGAAACGTTAAGCAACAAGAAGACTTCTACAGACTTTCCTATCTGTGTAATCTAAACAAGTCAGATTCAAATCACATGACCTCCATCTTCATATATTGCAAACATCCCTTAAAACAAGTGGTACTAATTGACAACCTAGGAAACGTTCCTTACCTTCAGGCCTCTCAGGGAGGGCCAAGCCTAACCAGCTCATGGTCATGCTGCATTGGCTGCTCACAGAAGATGTACGGCTACCGAAGGGGTGGAGAGGGATGGTGCCAATCACCAGGGGCAGGTTTAAAGACAGGTTCATGGCTCCTGGGATGTCTACATACACCTGATAATAAAAATATTGGGATATAAAATTAATCATTTCACAAACAGTGCACCTTTGTAAAAAAACGTTCCAGCATTTCCAGATCCAAATGCTCCTTCAGATCCCCAAAGCAAACAAACGGTTCTAATATACAACCACAGTGTGCTGTCCTAACCTTTACCTCAATGCCAAAATCTCAGTTGGCCAGGCAGTAATTCATCTTTTCTTAACCATTAAAATACTTGTGTCCAGGATGCTGCGAGCTTAGAGACTGTAGTGTATACTGTGATTTTTAGAGTGCTAGACATGAATAGTGCTCATAAACAGCTCTTGAAATGGTATTCTCACTTATAACAGAGTAGAGATTTGGACCAGGAAACAGTATTTAATAGGTCACAATTTATTAAGTGGATTCATTTATTTCAGAATACAAGGAGCCTGCTTAAAACAAGTAGGGATGACCCATTTATTGTACCAGAATATTTTCAATCACAGAAAAAGGCAAGAAAATAACATTATTTATGTATTCACAGCATATCAACAATGTTTCCTTAGAGCTGAGTGAATTAAAATAGTAAACTCAGATCCTGGGTCCTGACTATTACACAGTAACAGATTGGTTTGAGGGGATAATAAGCCATTAACACTCAATGGCCTGAATTTCATCAGATATTTTGGGCTGATCTTCTTATCAGTATGTGCTGGAGAGAACTTGACATAATCTTATTATCATTCATAGTGCTGCGTGTGTGGAAGAGCAAGAGGGGCTGTCAAGGTAATGATCCTTCAGCTGCTTTAAATCGACATGGAAAACACTCATATAACTGAATTATTTGCATTTTTAAGCTACTGAGATGACCAGCACTTGTAGAGATGATCGGTAAGCTTATGTGCGCCCCATAAAACTTCAAAATCAATACAAACTATAAAAGCACATGACTTACCATGAGTGAGTATTCCACTCTAATGATACTGCAGTCAAGGATGGAGGGAGATACAGGGGGAATCTTCAGCATCTTTCCATTCCATGTCTCCGTCTTGCCAGAAGAAAGCGACTCGCCTCGGATGTTGGCCACCAACTGCTTGATCTCCTTCATCTTCCCTTTGGCAAAGAAGGTCTGTGTTTGGTAAATGGCAGCCTTTGGCACAACCATACGCGAGGAGCAGTTTTCAATTTCAGCAAAGATTTGAATGGACTCCCCTGTGTAAAGACATTATATATGGTTAATTGTACAAAATAGTATCAAGGGGTATTATGTAGGGCTGCAACAACTGATTAAAACTGACAATGATTGATAATTAAAACAAATCTGAAATATATTGATTATTATCAGTCACAGCACTTTACAGTAGCAAGAAATGCATTTCTATAAGCTGCTGCGGCAAAAGTATACAACCCAAGCTGTCCAAAACATGAGAATGCATCATATTAAAGTGACCTTTTTATCAATTTATTCACCCTCATGTTGTTCCAAACATGAATGAATTTATTTCAGAAGAAGATATTTTATTCAACAGAAGAAAGAAACTGACGATGACAGAATTTTCATTTCCGGGTGAACTACACCCTTAAGAGCCTTAAACAATTTTATAGTTTAATGTGGCTTTCCCTGTCACATGCTTTTTTCCATTTGATTAATAAAAAATAAATACAAAAATAAAAATAAAAAAATCAACAGATTACACGATAATCAAAATAATCATTATTTGCAGCTCTAGTATCATGTAAAAGTATAGTGGGGTCCAAATGTATACTGAAAATGTTAACTGCCAGAAGATTTACCTGGAGTATAACCCTTCCGTTCAATTTTGGCACTTAAGGAGATTGGACCTGAGGTGCAAAACCAGCAGCATAGCGTCTTTTCTTTAGTTCCTGCCTGGGGAGACTGTGCAAAGTAGAATAACAACACTTTAAAATGCAAGAAACTTGACTGGTCATTTTTCAACACTGCATTGATGAATCAGTGATAAATCGAGGGATACGGATGATGCAAACACTCACCAGCAGAAGAGGAGTGTTGATGTCAATGTGTTCAAAGACAGTGAACTCTTTCTTGGTCTTCATGGGCAGAAGCCACGGCCTGTGCAGCTCAGCCTTCACCCAATAGCGCACACTGCCATGCTTTCCTTCGAACGAGGTAGCCAGAGGTCTGCATGTGCGTGACACAGAGAACATTTAAATAAGAATTACAATATACATTTCAAGTGAATAATTTTACCTGGGGCCATATCTGACCGACACTCACGTTTGTGGAAGCTCAAAGCTGAATGCATACTCATGTCTTCCTGAATGAATAGTGGTGAGTCCCTCCTCTGAGTTATCATCATCTGAAACAGAAGAGAATAATATTCCAAATATACCTTACCTGCCAAAGCATTGATCATCTTCTTGTTTATTACATTATCTAATTTATTCAAACACATACACTTCTGCTAAATGCATAAACACTTTGATAAAACAACAGTTGATTGATTCTCATACACCCCAGCAAATCATGATATGCGTCAATATTATGTTGTACCCAAGAATTATGAGTGTTTCATCACAAGTATAATGATTGCACTTTATGCACAAGTGTATTCAGTTTCAGTATTCATTCTGAATGGGAGAAAGAACTACTCACAAGATCCACTGCAGTTCACGTGAAACCTAACTAAGGTAAATGTGAAACGAAATTCCAATGTTAAATAATTTGTTTGTGTAACACTAAAAAACACCGGCGACTTTCGTTTCGCCAGCTAAGCACTCAGTTTAGCGGAGCCATGGTAAACAGGCACGGAGCTGTCAATCAAGGGCAGACTCCAGCAAGAGAAGACTGGCCTAAACCGGAGCCGGCTGCTTCCCCGTGCAGGCGCGCTCATTACCCATTCAGTGTGCGGCAGCCTCCCATTGAATCTACGCGTGTGCTGCGGCGTGGACCTCAAGAGTATTCTCCCATTCAGCAAAACACATGAGAGAAATATGCCAAAAAACACACACCAGAAATCACAAACGACAGAAAACCGACCAGTTTCAATTACAAATGGACTTTTATTGTAACCAATCACCCATACAGAAGCAGCAAAGACAATTAGATATGACTTAGATTAGAATTTTACATGGGAATGAAATTACAACACGCATGCAACTAACAAGGTCATAACATGCACTATTTGATTTGTATACAAAGAGGTTCAACATTAGGCAAATATTGACTAGCTTTCCTGTACTAGAAGCCACCTCAGGCTAACAAAAACTTCTCAACAAAAAAGCGAATATGTAAAAGTTATTATACAATGTAGATGTATTAATGTCACGTTTACCACTGGGTTAAGCAACCGTTCGCACTTGTAATTTTTAACCCTGTGTTTTGATGCTAACGTTACAGTGTGGAACGATGCGGTGGTAGAACGTACCAGCAAGTTGTTTGGCAACAGACGACCAATAAACTGCCTCGGTGCTTAGCTCATTAAATATTCATGAGCTCCGTGCAGTTGCAGAAACTGTGGAACGCGCTGTACGAGAAAATTAAAAATGTCAAACTGCGTGAACTGGAGTGAAAAGATAGTTTTTTTTTTTGCTTTTGTGCGTTAAAAAGTGACTTCAGTCAGAACAGTCAGAACTGACAAACAAATTATAGAAACTTCTACCAAAGGACCAGCAGTTATCAAAACAGCTCGTGAGAAGTTTTCGTCATAAATATGCAAAGGGTTTATAAATGTACAGTGCGAAACGAGATAACCCACGAATATATTTACTCAGAATTTTAGAAAGGCCATGAGTTAACAATTTCAAGTGTGAAGAGTCCAACAGTCTATGCAAAAAAAAAAAAAAAAAGCAAAGAGGTTGTCAGTCAGCCTTAACAACTAAATATTGGACCACTGAATGCATTTAAATTTAGCTAAAATATGTGCATATGTTGCATACTACAGCCATGGTGCAAAGTTGCTGCTGTGCTGTTTTTCTCACTTTCCGCAAAAGCATGATGTCATAGAAGACACGTTGACGCCTCCACCAATCAGAGACAAGAACGGCTAGACACTGCATCAAAACAGGATTGAACCGCTTCGAACAATGGGTGGAAACTTAAGATATTATGCCGAAAGATCTGTCATTACTGTTTTTAATATGTGATCTTATATAGAATTCATGGACGTAATTTTTCCGAAATAAATAAATCGATTGAACACCGAAACGAATCTTGATTTTAATAAGGCTGTAGCATGAGATGAGCAAACTGTGTGGTCACCATTCATTCAAGCTACTTCACTGACACCTGAAAGAATCCTGAAGTATAGTCAGAATAGAGAAATGTGCTGAATATCACGCATTTAGCTGATTTAAACTGGATAGTGAAAATGCGGCATCCACGTCTATTGCCAATTCATTATTTCTAATGAATGATGAGTCTGTCATGTAATGTTCCATGTGTATATGGTGTATTTTTTGGGGTTTGATTAAGCCAATCGATTTTAACAAGTGAATACATAAATACAATAGAAAAGGAAAAGAAAGATATATGCATGCACACAATAGTGTCTACAGGTCCACCGGTCAACAAGTACTGTGCAGCATCCAAGTATGTCATGTCATCCTGGACCACTGAGCAACCCACCAGTACATTCAACTGCTCTTTTCTGAACAAATCTACACTGAGAGCTTGTCTGATCTGTATGCTTACCTCTCTCATGGCCAATAAGGGTGTCTCTATGATTCAGATATTCCACTTCTTCTGTGTAATTTTGAGTGTAGGCAGTGTTGGATCCAGCATTTCGTGATTCTGTCCAACGAACTTTTGCGAATCCTTTTGCATGTATTTTAAGTGACTTCACACGAATCTCCCCGGTGACTTCAATAATAACTCTTCCTGAGACGGAGTCCCCGCTGGAGAAAACAGGGACATTGCTGTCATTTAGACAGTCGTAGCTTACAATGAAGCTCTTCACCTTTCCTAGCACCATGGTGGCAAGAAAATAAAATGTACAAAGTTCTGTAGACAAAACAAAACCACAATGCAAAGTCTATGAAAATAATCTCTTATGAAAAAAAGCGAGAGTTAACACTGGATAGTGTCATTGAGATGCGAGAGCTGAATAACAGCAAACGATGCTGTTACCGCGTCTCGGTGAAGGCTTGATGGTCTGCAATGAAAGACAGCGAAATTTCGCCACCGGCTCACTTTAAGCGCTGCTCTTGTGAAAAACAAGTTAGTGCGCATGCGCACGGCTGCTATCCGTCCCCCTTCTTCCGCTCGCTTTTTGTGCAGTTCTTTGACCGGGACTCAGGAGACAAATAACAGAGAACAGCTGATCAGTGTATTAAAAGAATACGTGGAAGTCTAGACATTTTTCCCCCCACACGTTTAGGTAGAGCCCCACATTAATATTTGAACAGTTTGGTTATAGAGTAACATGTTATAGATTGTTAAGTGAATTTGGGCTCTGGTTACTCTCAGTGGGTATGCACAAAAGGAACAAAATAGAGCTTAGACGATTTATTGCCCCCCCCCAACATATTGGGACTCAAACAATACAATTGATTTTAGTCAACATATTGTTTTACCGTTTGCACCTGAATGCAAAAATGGTTTTAGATGCAGTTAAAGAGATCAATATTGCTCATGGCATGCTGCCATGTTACATTTTGATAAAGATGGTGATTTGATACCAATTGCACCAGTTTTTATATCATAATATATGTCACTTGAACTGAGTATTTGTAGGAACCTCCTTTTTAGTTTTTTTTTTTTTTCAGATATTAGGCCAACTCACTCATCACAACATTTTCATATTTCTATATTCTTAATTTCATATCTTGTTTCTATATTTCATGATTCCTGTTTAAATGGGTTTGTGTTAAACGTTGTGTAAATTCTCTTTTCCATGGTATATGCAGCTTCAGTAGCACCTTTGATGGCACAAGGATCAGTATTAGGTAATTTCACTTGCATTTATCTGCTATAGATCTACAGTATGGTTCAGTTATGAAAATGTATGCGCCACCTAGCGGCTGCACAAACTCTTGCGTCCCTCTGTGTCTTGCTTTAGTCGCGCGTGTGTGAACGAGTTACGCTGGTTTCTGCTGCCCTCTAGGGGTTTGTTGGAGAACAGTAACTTAAAATTTTCCTTTGTGTGCAGTGGAGTTGAAGGTGGAGATATTTGTTCAAATTCTCATTTGAATTTACCTAAAGCGAAACAGACACATCCCCACCTAGTAAAATGCAAGACGTTTTGGGTTTTGATATTAAGATGTTTGAGAGTTTCAAGTTTAGTTTATTTTAAAACTTGGACTTAACATGTGAGACAAAGATTTAAGCAGGGGGTTAAGGTAGGCTATTTGGTGTCTGGTGATTTGTGATGTAGTAGTTTCTCTTGGGATTATTTGTGAGAATTTTAATCCATTACTGTAGCACAGTGGAGCAATCCTCTTTTATTTTCATAGATATTTGTTCAGACTTGTTACAGTCTTACTTGAAAATAATGATCATAACTTTGGTGAAGAATCTCATACAAACAAACAGTGGTTACAGTCGATAGATTATTTCATTATGGACGGAGGTTAAAAGCACAAACAGATAAGCTGCGATATGTTCTGAAAAGAACACAGTATCAACAAAACTGCAGTAATATCATCAAAATAAGTTTTAGTAGTGATTAGAGTTTATAAGGCACAATGTAAAGGGCACCTGAGCTTGAAGGCATGCAGATAAAGCCATGAAGTTCTCATTGACACAGCACAAGTCTGGCTGGTAAAGGACACTAATAAGGCACTTTTGGAGAGGATTATTTAGTGCTTTGGATCATAAACTGGTGCAGATGGAAACAGATGGAAACCAGGCTGAATGGCATGTGGATTTGGATAGATCCCTGCAGCAGCTCCTGAGTGGGGCAGCACTGTAGGGTCATAAAGTCCTGCAGGTGGAGGAGGTAGTTCACCAGGAATAGGCACAAGGTTAGGCTGAGGTGGTGGATATGGCTGGAATCCTCCAGGTGGGCCTTGCCATGGAGGACACTGTTGTTCATCTGCAGTTTTCAATGGTGACAGTCAGGTCATGTGGAAGTTTCATGTTAACTATGCATTTAGACTTTTCTCCAGATGGGATGCGATCTCTAGTCTCTTCGATTATGTATTTTAATCCTCTTTTATTTCTTATGCCAGCGATGAACGTCTGTTGCTGCTTGAGGCTGTACTTTAGCTTGACGTCACGAGATGAAGAGTTGTCAATGTCGACAAAAACTCTGATTGTTTCACCTGCATCAATAATAAGAAAATAGAGATAACATACATCAATAATAAAATAGCTGCTTTGACATTGCAGGCTAGTGTCTTCAGTTCAGGCGGCTTTGACAGTTGCGCTTGAGAGCTATGACGACATCACCTTGCATATAGCCAGTTTTGTCTGTTGATACAGTGAGTGACATTTTCCTGAGCTGAATAGTTTCATCCTTTTGTCTTGTGTGCCAGATTGTGGTTGCTGTATGAAACAAACAAACAAACAAACAAACATATTTAAATAACTAAACTAATATCACATTCAAATTCCTCTATAGGTCACAAGCAAATCTCATTACGTGTGTTCTGATGACAGTAAAGCAGTTACATCATCTCTTTATTTATGTGAATCAATAGATAAGTGCCTAAGAATCAAATTATAATTAATTAATGTTATATTATAGAATTATAATTCATACCAGTAAATGATCATTGGTCGCATCATTTCTGGGCACAAAGGATAATTCCAGATGTTTAAAAGATGTTGGCGTCAGTGGCCTCTTCAGTTTTACCATAAAGACATACTTCACCCAGCCATGAATGTATGTAAAAGATGGAGGCATATTTCTGAAATTAGAGATTAAAATAGTGTCTCACAAATGACTGAAAAGTGCTGTAGTGCATTATGTGGTCATGTATGCAATACATATATATTAGAAAATAAGTCCATTGTCACATGCATAATAATAGGTTTTTAATGTATTCAGAATAACAATTAGCACATGTACAATTTATTGATTTTTTAAAATTACATTTAATGTTTATAATTTAGAATAATAAGCAAATAATATGGTTTTATTAAAGCAAATGTTTAAAAATATGCAAACAATATGACTGGCCCTTTTTTAATATTTGTTTTAGAGGATGGTGATGATTTGGCGGTTAAGTTTTGCTTTTAATATCATAACATACTGATGTTCTGTACATTGAGTTTATGGGGTGTTAATCACATATTGTTATTAGTTCACTGTATGCACATATTTACACAATAAAGAACAAATGTCATTGAAGATGTATGTTGAAAGAAAGGAATTCTTCAATAGTATCACTGACTGTTGAGGCAGCTGAAATCTGAATAGAAAAATATGCCTTCCTGGCCTAATCACTGATCCATCTGAGGAACATAAGGCATTAGTACAGCATGAGTTACAAGAGAGTTGTAATGAAGCTTCGCTGGTCTACTGTTAGCAAACGATCTTTTCAGGATTCATATGACTTATATGTCTGAAAGGTATATGAAAACTCTTACTTACAGGTTTCTCCGCTTACAAGAGTGGTATTCCTTTGTTCTTGTCCTGTAGACATCACAGCAAGAAATGTATTTTATCCATTATTATTCTTCATTATTTCTTTATTCTTTACTGCAAACATCTATTTTTCAAACATAATCTGTCCCGACTTTGACTTGTAAGTTTACTGTTGGCATTTATTTTGCATAATACGTATGTGTATTATTCTATTTATATAATAATTTAAACACTAATACTATACTAATGATACTAGTAATTCAATTTTTAATATATTTTATAGATATTTATGTATATCTTGCACACAATGTCACCTTTCTTTGAGCTCTCTTGAATGAAGTATTGCTTTAGTTTGAAGTATCTCTCATGGTCACGGTAGGTTCTTTCATCATCGCCGGATTTTTCAGTCCAGCGTACCTTTGCGTCCCCCGTCAGCTTCACAACAAAACTGTCCACTTTTATTTCTTTGGTTACTTCCAAAATAACTCGTCCCTCTACATTATCCCTACTAGTATAAATATTGCTTTCATTAATTGGGTCATAACGAAGACTGAGCTCTTTGATGCAGCCTGACATTTAAAAAAAAAAATGTTGTATGTACGTATGCACACTAGACTAAATATTCAAAGACAACTACATGCTGGTTCTTCCTGTTCTCATGAGTGAAGCAGGAGTGACAAAGGTCACTCAAAAAAAATATATTTTTGAGGGAGTGCCACTTCATACACCTGCCTGGTCAGCACTGATCTTTCAGTTCAGAGTTCACAGTGATAGATGGAGTCCTGATTGGCCGAGGGACCTGCTTGTTTACCACAACAGAAGATGAATCTTATCTTTAATAAGGATGTAGCAAGAGATGAGCAAAACATTTATACAAAAAAAGTAAGATTATGCATACACACAATAGTGTTTACAGGTTCACTTGTCAGCTTGAAGTGCAGCATTTAGTATGTCATCCTGGACAACAGAGTATCACACCAATTATTACTAGTATGCTTACCTTTTTAATGGCCAATAATGATGCCTTCATGATTCAGATATTCCTGATTCCCGACTTCTGTAATTTTGAGTGTAGATATGCGTATCCAGCTGTTGCTGGATAATCAATCAACTGTTGCAAATAATTTTGAAAGTATTTTAAAATCTCCATGAAATAAGAATGAGCAATTCTTTTTTTTTTTAATGGAATGTTGAAGTTTTTATTACAAATGATGTATACATGCACATAATTGTATTTATTTATTTATTTATTTATGTATTTATTTATTTACATGTCCTCATAATCTTTAATCAAAAAATATTAACATTCCCACCGCTCATATCTTTTCTGATGACGTGTGCACTGGAGTGAAGGTTGGGCAATAAAGTTGTCCAAAGACCAGATGAGTTTCAATCACTCCCCTCCAGCAACCTGTTACTCACTTGAAATTATCGTTTATTTAGTTTGCAGTGGCCACTATCAACAGTCTAATCAATTCCTAATGGACAAAAAATTATTTACATTCTACAATTTTTTTTCTTGTTTAAAAAGCTGTTTCGTTCAGAAATATGTCACATAGGAGAGACAAGTCAGCCACAATTTCTGTTTCATGCCAAATCTTCTTAGGATGTCAATAAGAACTCCTGACTCCGGGGATAGAGACC